GCTGCTGCTGGAGAAGGGCTCCAGTGTGTCCCCTGCCCTGCTGCCCTTTGTGCTCAGCACGGGGCAGCTGCCAGCTGTGTCAGTGTGGGGTGAGGGATCCTCAGCTGGGCTCGGGAAGGAACCCAGGGGAGAGAGGACAACTTGCTGAGAGCTGCTCTGGGGAGGTTTCTCCAACACCACCTCCCTCCAGCCACCTCTCCTGGGGGCTGTTCCTGTCAATGTAGCTGGAATGTCTTGGTGTTTCCTGGCAGGACGATAGTGAGCGTCACTGTGATTCTGGGAGCCCACCACATAAGTAGCCAAGAACCAAGCCAGCAGGAGATCCCTGTTGAAAAATGGGTCATTCATCCTCAATATTCCCGTAAAGGCTACAAAAATGACATCATGCTGCTGAAGGTATGGCCCAACAGATCCTTCCTGCCTGAGGGATCTCCCCTTGCTCAGCTCCCCAAACTCTGAAAGCTCCTCATCCATTGCTGGCTCTAACCCCGTGTTCTCTCTGCCTGACAGCTGAAGAAAAAAGCCAAGATCAATGAGTATGTGCAATGTATCTCCATTGCCAAGGCAAATGAACATGTGAGAGCAGGAGATTTATGCACGGTGTCTGGCTGGGGCCGGACATCTCTGTACCCGCCGCCGAGTGATGTCTTGAGAGAGGTGGAACTGAAAGTGCAAAAGGAGAAGATCTGTCAGCAGGTTTTCCTTTACTATCAGCCTCACTCTATGATCTGTGTTGGTGATGAAAACAATAAAAAAGCATCTTACAAGGTAAGTGTTGTTTTGGGCTGCAAGCTTGGGAAGAGGTTGGGATTGGAAATTCAGATTAGTTCCGAGGTGAAAGCAAAAGGACAGCAGAATGAACCACGACCTTCAGAATGATGAGCTGAGGGCCCTCACAGAAAATCTGAAGCTGATGTGCTCCCTGAATTGGGGTGCATTTTCCTAAATATCAGCAACATTTGCTTTTTTACATACTTGGGGATGTTCTACCCAGGTTAACCAGTGCTTTGGTGTGTAAATTCCTTGTGATATCCTTGCTCAGAGGGGTTAGATATTTCCCCATGTCTAAAGTAGGTCACTGTTCTTCTTTTGAGTTTTTGAATCTCATAGAGCCTCCAGGCGTAAATTGTTTCATGGGTGGGCTTAGAGGAGTAGTGAGGCAGCTACAAATGCTGAGAGCTGGGTCTGGAGGGAGGGAGGTGCTGGGAAGAGGAGGTTCTTCACGTGGAGGGAGGGAAGAGGAAACTTGCTGCTTAAGGCAGGGAGAGCTGAGCTGTGGCATGTCTGACCCCTGTCACTCCTTTCATGGCACAGGGTGATTCTGGTGGCCCATTAGTCTGCAAT